AGGAGTGCCAGAAAATTTTGGGGTTATGTTTAAAAATAGCTACAGACATGTATGTGTTTTTTTCCCCAGTGTTTTTTCTTTTCCACTTATTTTCTTAGTTAAATTCCTAGACTTGAGTAGTTGCGGCAAGAATGTGCATTTGTAAGCCTTTTGACAAATATCGTCTAATTATTCTTCAGAAATATATGCTATTGGTGTATTAAACTGGTATAATGAGAGCCTTTTTCCATGTACATCTTAACCAACAATGGATATTATATATCTTTAAATAATTGTCCTATTAGGTAACTGAAAAATATTTCATTGTTTTTTCAAGTCTTTGATTACTTGTAAGGTAAAAATCACTTGTAAGACAAATAGATACAGTATTATTTCACATTTGTATTTTTTTCTTTGTGAATTTTTTTTTTTTACATTCTTTGTCCATTTTTCTCTTATGGTGTTAATATTTAAAAATTCGACCCGTAAGAGATCCTGATATTATTACGGACATTAAATCTTTGTCATGTTTTCCAAACATTTTGAGTTTATTATCTTCCTTTTCACTTCATTTCAAAAATATTTTTATGAAACCAAATTCATCAAAATTATTCTTTATGTTTTTTGTGTTTGTAAAATTCTAATATGGGTGATTTTTAAAGTATTTTTTTGGCAGGATAATTTTTTCTTTTAGTAAAATTAGGGAGCAAAATTTCATTTTCAAATAGGTTTACTTAAATCTGTCTCTGATGAAAAATATTTATTCAATAAATATTTATTGCAGACTTACTTTGTGGTAGGCATTTTTCTGGGTGCCTGGGGTATATAACAGAACAAAACACACACACAAAATCCTTGTCTTCATTGGTATGGCCTAGTTAATATTTTCAGGAATGAGTTGTTTCATAACATGTTTATTTGACTATAAATAATGATTAGATTTTTACTGATTTCTTTTCCACTAAAGTATCTCATTTGAAGTTGTTCTTACATTCAAAATAGAAATAAAATGGTGCTTTGAAAGTAGGTTTTGTTAGCAAAAATTTGTCTACTCGGTCATGGTAGACAAGATAAGCATTTCTTTAATGTACATTTGTAATGTCCTTTGAATGAATACTAGATTTCAAGAGGGGTGGAAAAGCTGAAAAATAAATAATTGTGGTTTTGGTCCTTAATTTTTAAAAAATATTTTTGAATTTTAAAATGTTAATTTTAATCAAATTATTTATAATATTGTCCTGGTAGAAACATTTTTACAAAAAAAAAAATGCCAGAATGATGTAAAGTCTGTGAGAGATGTTGCATAATATATGATTGATCATATTTTTGATTCACTATGTCACCAGATAGAACTAAAGATAGTTATTTATACTTACCATTTTTGCATTAAACATTTTCCATAAATTAAAAAGTGTAAGGTGATAAGTTCATATTTCCATGTTAAAAAAGTCAGTAACTCTATAAACTGTGGCATGAGAACTAATAAATAGGTTAGAAGTTTAATTAAACTTAATAAGAACATTATTTTTTACTCTTTAAAGAAGCTAATAACTCATAATCTCCTCAGTAACAATACTTTGCTGATAATATGACCAATGAATAACATTTACTCTTGTGTGTGTATACTTGTGTGCACATTTGAGTTTATTTTAAGAAGTAATATAATTTTAAATATGTAGAGAAAAGCTAGCTTTCCAGTGTTTTGAAAATGTACTAGATCTTGTAGGTACTATACTGCATTTTACAATAGAGTGCCTTTTAGTGAATCCAAGTCTTGATTTCACATGGGATTTTTTTTGTTACATAGTGAAACAGAAAGGAGCAATTGCCATCTGAACTATGAATGATCAACTCTCCTGGTTAGAACATACTACTAACAAGGCCAAAAGCCTAGGTTTGATGCATCTGAGTGCCAGTTCATAATGTTTTATACCAATTTCACTGCCGATCCTGGGTGTATTTGTCTAAGCCATTAAAATTATTTCACTGGGTTTTTTTTCTTGTTAGTTATAATCACAAGGAAGTAAGCAAATTTAGTTTAAATGTTATACCAGAATTGAACTTTGCAAGATATGTATTCTCCAAATGGTCCTTGAAGTGAGATGTAAAACTCATATCACACTTAGGGAAAAGGCTAGCCCATACAAACTCCATCTCCTCTATTTCTATACCAAACAATTTTTCTTTAATCAAAAGAAATAGCCGTTAATATCTTTTCAGATCATGGCAATCATGTACAATGGAAATACAAAATTAGATAAAAACCAAAGGTTTTTGCATCAATTCAAAGTTATTGTTCATTCTTATTCAACCTGGAGGGCAAGATTTAAGATTGTTTAGGTTCTCATATTGAGCACGAGAAGATTCTTTTAGAAGGTCCTTCTGGTCATATTGGTTTGGTGCTGGATTGATAATTATAATACAAGTAATTTAAATAGCCTTAAGCCAGATTCATGTAGAAAGTATTTTTAATGCCAGTAGGAATCAAAGTGGTATGGTGAAATTCAAGTTATGTTGTATTATTGGGAATTGATTGTAATTTTCGTTTATTGAAAGTTTTAACTCTATGCATTAAAGAAAAATATATCAACTTTTTCTATTGTATTAATGTACAAGTTTAATGCACTTATTTAGTCCTTTGAATTTTATTGGCATAGGTACTTGTCCTAGAATCAGCTTTTAGTATGGAGGAACAATTTCTTTTTTATTTTTTTTTTAATTTTTAAAATTTTACTTCTCAAAATACATTGTAGTTGATTTTCATGCCCCTTTACCTGTTCCTCTACACCCCTTCTTCTCCCCCACATCATATCTGTTCACTTGACTTAAATAGTTCAAAGAATTTTTGTGGTTATTCTGTCTTCTTCCCCCCCCCACTTTATTTGTTTGTGTGTTTATTTATTTATTTTAGCACCCACAAATAAGTGAGAACATGTGGTATTTCTCTTTCTGTGCCTGACTTGTTTCACTTAATATAATTTTCTCTAAGTCCATCCATGTTGTTGCGAATGGTAGTATTTCGTCCTTTTTTATACCAGAGTAGTATCCCGTTGTGTAGATGTGCCACAGTTCCTTATCCACTCATCAGATGATGGACATTTGGGCTGGTTCCAGCTCTTGGCTATTGTAAATAGAGCTGCAGTAAACATTGGAGTACAGGTATCCCTTTGGGATGATGATTTCTATTTGGAGGAACAATTTCTAAGAGTGATTAAACTATGGGATGCCTTTTAAATGTTTATTAATTTCCTAATGGTTTTTCAATTTTCAAATTGTAATCTACAGGATTCTGAAAATATGGAACAGAGAATCCAGTCTCTCATCAGCTCATTAAAGCATATGGTTTATGAATATATATGCCGTTGTCTATTTAAGGTAAGAAGCACTATATTTTTCAAATTTAAAAATACTACTTGGTTCTCGATTTAATACGGTTATATAACTCTTTACCTACTACTGAAATTGGCATTTCTGATATTTTTCCAGAATAGCATTCATTACTAACTGGAATTGTCTTAAAGCATTCTGGGATTTAGTTGGGGGAAAAGTGACAAGTGAGGAAGAGAACAAACATTGGGTTAGCTGACTTAGCTTTGAACTTTCCAGTAGTCACTGAAACAGAGAACAACAGTAGATTCTGTAGCTCGTTATGTAGTCAGGGCTCCTCACTGTCGGCACTGTTGACATTTTGGGCCACATAAATTCTTTGTTTTGTGCATTTTAGGATGTTTAGCAGCATCCTTGGCCTCTACCAAGTGTCGCCAGTAGCACTCCCTCCTCCAAGTTGTGAGAATCAAAAATATCACTAGACATTGCTCAATGTCCACTGGTTTGGGGGACAAAATTGTTTCTCATTGCTGGCATTAGGAAGTAAACTAATGCTTCATCCTGAGTTATGAGAGAAATCTGTTATAGAAGTCTTTATATTATAGGGATCCCAGAGGAACATACAATGGACACTATTTAGAAATTTTGATTATTATAGAAAACAGAGACTTTTCATGTAGGATTTTTTTTTTAAAAAGTAATGTTAAAGAGGAGGTTTGTAAAGGCAATGGACTGAGTGAGAGAAATACAAGGTACTTCAAAAAGTTCATGGGAAGATTTGTATTTTTCAATTCTATTTTTCCACAAG